TTTCCTCCATTTCTGCTTCTTATTGCTTTGGTTATCGGTTCTATGTGTGATCGGGTTGGTTGGCTCGGGTTCAGAAAGGTTTTGGTAAGGTTTGAGACACTTAGTCTCTTTTGAGGAAGCTTAAGTTGGAAAAGTCAACCGAATATTGACTTATATGTTAAAAGGGCTCGGATGTGAGTTTCGATAGTTCGGATAGCTTCGGGAGGTAATTTGAGACTTAGGAGCATGATCAGAATGTATTTTAGAGGTACGAAGTAGATTTAGGCTTGAATTGACAAAATTGGAATTTTGGCGTTTTCCGGTTGATAGGTGAGATTTTGATATATGGGTCGGAATGGAATTCCAGGAGTTGCACTAGTTTCGTTGTGTCATTTGGGATATGTGTGCAAAATTTCAAGTGATTCGGACATGGTTTGGTAGACTTTTTGATCAAAAGCATAATTCGGAAGATTTTGGAACCTTAGGCTTGAATCCGATGTATTTTGGTTGATTCGATGTTGTTTGACGTATTTTGAAGATTGGTATAAGTTCGAATGGTGGTATGTAACTTGTTTGTGCTTTTGGTTGAGGTCTCGGGGGCCTCGGGGGTGATTTCAAATGGTTGGCGGAAAGTTTGGAATTTAGAAATGGCAGCTGAAGTTTTAGGACTGCTGTCACAACCGCATTTGCGGTTGGGAGGCCGCAGGTGCGACCCCCGCAGATGCGGAAAGAGCCTAGGAAGGTAGGAATCGCAGAATCGGTTGAGGAACCGCACCTGCGATGGCACATGTGCGGATTGTGCATCGCAGATGCAGAAATTGAGGATTTAAGTGAGGACCGGAGATGCGGCTTCTTGGACCGCAGAAGCGGTAGCTGGACCGCGGGTGCGAAATGCCTGGGCCAGAAGGTATAAAAGGATTCTTTCGCGATTTTGAGTTGTTCTTTACCATTTCAAGTTGGTTTGGGGCCTTTTGGGAGATTTTGAGGAGGGATTCAAGGATAACGTCTAGATGTAAGATTTTTGAATCTAATAATCGATCATATGGTATTATTTCACGGATTAGAGCTGTAATCATGGAAATTAAGGGTAAAAAATTGGGAAATTAGGGTTTGGTATTGAAGACCTTGACTTGAGGATTTGAGGGGCCATTTGTGGTCGGATTTTGGGACTTTTGATATGTATGAACTCGTGGGGAGATAAGGAATTTATTGATGTAAATTTTATCGAATTCCGAGATGTGCCTCGGGGGTTGGGTTTTGGTTAATTACGGGATTATGTTGTAAATTAATTATTTTCGCATAGGCTTCGTTCCCTTAGCATATTTTGATGTCATGATTCTGATTTTGGATAGATTCGACACGACTTGAGGCCGATTCCAGGGGAAAAGGCGTCGCGGGATAGAGTTTGGATTAGATTGAGGTGAGTAATGATTTTAAATGTTGTCCTGAGGGTATGAAACCCCGGATCACACATCGTTGTGCTATATTGAGGTGACGCACACGCTAGATGACGAGTGTGGGGTCGTGCACTGTTGGGGATTGTGACTTAGTCCGTCCCGAATGACTGTTTTACTGCATATTTGATTGAAAACTGTTTTCTATCATGTTTTGGGCGGAATGTCATATTTGGGCCTCGTGCCAACTAATTGGACCCTTAGTGGACTTTTACTGTTATTTCCTCACTGTTTTGACTTTATATTGTACTCGGTCATGCTATATTCTACTATTTTCATAACTCAGCCATGTTTACTCTGTTTTAACACATTAAATGATATTTTGGGTTGAGCATCATGTTTTACTGTTGCCCGAGTGGCTTATGAGATTCTGACTGAGTAAGGCCGAGGGCCTGTATTGTGAGGATACTACTTTGGGTCGGGCTGCACGCCGCAGCAGTGATACACTGATTTATGATTATGAGGCCGAGGGCCTGAGATTGTACGCCACGAAGTGGCTTGATATGAGGCCGAGAGCCTAGTGATTATGTCACGAGATGGCTTGATATTGCGCTTGGACCGTAAGAGGCCCCTCCCAGAGTTTGTACACCCCAGTGAACGCGAGTACCCATTGTGATATGAGATATAGCCCGAGGGGCTGGTGTTGTTCCATGTTGTTGTCCGAGGAGCTGATTCTGTTGGTATTGTGCCCGAGGGGCAATTTTTATGTATTTATCTTTTCCAGTTGCTTTCATTTAATTGTTTAACTGTTAAAAGGGTGTTTTAAAGAAGCTTATTATGAACTAAGGTGTCTTTATATGTTTTCACTATTTCACTACTTTTATTGGTTTTACACTACTTCCTTATAGCATGTTGGTGTGTTTTTATGTGATTTCTTATCGCTTAGTCTTCATTTATTATTATTACTCACTGAGTTGGAGTACTCACTTTACTCCCTACACCCTATGTGCAGATTCAGGCGCTTTAGGTCCCGCTAGCGAGTGTTGATTCCTTTTAGCTCAGGCGGTTCAGAGATTCACTAGGTAGCTGCTCGGAGTTCGCAGCCCAGTGCTTCTCCCCTATCTTATTTCTCTTGTTTTAGTTCTGTAATAGACTATGTAGACTCTTCCTATTTTTAATCGGTTAGTAAATGCTCGTGACTGGTGACACTCCGATGTCGGGCTGTGTTGTTTCCGCAAATTGTATTATTCACCTTTATTTTGGGATTATTATTATGTTAAATACTTAATTTGTATTATTTTAATTGCTTAAAATGAATTGGGTGTGTGTTGGCTGGCCTTGTCTTCACGAGAGGCGCCATCACGATCGAGTCCGGGTTTAGGGTCGTGACAAGCATATTTTGTCTGAAGTTTTAGAAAATGAACTAAATAACTTCAGCATGTATTAGCAAACACTCATTAGAAAATTACATACTGCAAGACAAAAACTTAATCATATTTAGTCTGAAGTTTTAGCAAATGAACTAAAAAACTTAAGCATGTTTAGTATGAAGTTTTAGCAAATGAACTAAATAACTTCAGCATGTATTAGCAAACACTCATTAGAAAATTACATACTGCAAGACAAAAACTTAATCATATTTAGTCTGAAGTTTTAGCAAATGAACTAAAAAACTTAAGCATGTTTAGTATGAAGTTTTAGCAAATGAACTAAATAACTTCAGCATGTATTAGCAAACACTCATTAGAAAATTACATACTGCAAGACAAAAACTTAATCATATTTAGTCTGAAGTTTTAGCAAATGAACTAAAAAACTTAAGCATGTTTAGTATGAAGTTTTAGCAAATGAACTAAATAACTTCAGCATGTATTAGCAAACACTCATTAGAAAATTACATACTGCAAGACAAAAACTTAATCATATTTAGTCTGAAGTTTTAGCAAATGAACTAAAAAACTTAAGCATGTTTAGTATGAAGTTTTAGCAAATGAACTAAATAACTTCAGCATCTTTAGACTGAAGTTTCGGATAAAACTTATGATAAAATTGTAGACTGTAGGATATATAACTTCAGCATGTATTAGCACGAAGTTTTAGCTTCAATGTGAAACAACTTCATGCTATATTAGCATGAAGTTTTAGCTTCAACATGAAACAACTTCATGCAAGTGTGATTCTGAAGATGAATCTAGATAAATTTCGTATTTTTTGATAAAGCTGCTGAGAGGAGAGGAGGAGATCTTTTTTCACGAATGAGGTTGCAAATCACGCGATTAATGCGTGATGAAGGTTTTATATCTTTTGTCAGGGGTGTAATTGTCATATTATTACGGATTTTTTATCAGCTGGCTACCAAATCAATAATTTTTAAAAATAGGGTACAAGTTAAAAGGTGACACAAATATAAGGTAAGACTGCAAATCCCCTATCGTAAAGTGGGTAGGCTTGCAATTTTTTTTGTAAAGTGGATATTGATTCAATTGTGACCCTAAAACCGGGTATAGATGCAAAAGTCCCAAACTCCCATGAAACGGAACATTTGCATCTATACTTGTTTTTTGTGTCACGTTTTAACTTGTGCCTACTTTGCAAAAAAATTGCAAGCGTACCCGCTTTTTCGCATAACTTCAGCATACGGGGCTGAAGTAGCAAAGGCAATCACGCAAAACTTTAGCATTCTAATAGCCGGGCCTGAAGTTCAGCTCTAGAGCTGAAGTTTTTGTTTTGTAACTGTCGAACTTTAGCTCTAGAGCTGAAGTTTTTGAGCTTCAGCTCTAGAGCTGAAGTTTTTGTTTATAACTGACAAAGTTTTTTGTTTGTAAGTTTCAGCTCTAAAGCTGAAGTTTTTGTTTGTAAGCTTCAGCTCTAGAGCTGAAGTTTTTGTTTTGTAACTGTCGAACTTCAGCTTTAGAGCTGAAGTTTTTATTTTGTAAGTATATTATTTAAATGTTGTGAACTCACAAGAGAAGAAGGATTGGATGCAGAAGTGTGCGACCAAAGTCTGAAAAGATATACATTAAATTTACATATGTTATATGCATTAATCATCTCCTTGGCCTCATACAACCAGTCTTTCTACCTGCTGGAGCAAAGCGTTTAATATTAAACTTCACGAGATCTGTAATTTCAGAATAATAGAAAGAGAGTAGTATTTTTATTATTTATCCTTGTGATTTCATGTGTAATTTATTTCCTTTTCTTGGACTAGGGAAGAAAGGAGGTACACTGCAGCGTTGTGGGTAACATTGTAATAGGTATCAATATTTATTCCTCTCATATGTTAAAACCAATGCAATAGTTGATAATTGACAGTATTAAGATCACTTGGTGCAGAGCCGATTTTGTATGTAGATTATTTAGGGATGAACCTTACTTCTGGAAAAAGAAAAAATAAAACTTTGAGGACGACAAGGTGGAGGAGAAAGGGAGCTAAAGTTGTTTAAAAAGTGGGTACAAGTTAAAAGTTTTTAAAAAAGTGGGTATAAATTAAATGTGAGCGACCAAATAAGGCGCACCATGCAATTTTTACCCACGAAACAAATATCAAAAAGCAGGCCGCAAATATTTTCAAAAAGCCCAGGAATAAAAAGTCCAAAGACCTTAAAGTCCAATAAGCCCATCTTCTCCACTTACACTCTTTAGGTCAAGAACACCCAAAACCTTCTGCTGCCATTCTTCTTCACCACTGTTAATCAGTTCCGCCCTAAACCCTAACTCGCGAACTCAGATTCTCAATAATGGCGGCATCGTACGAGTACGAAGACGGAGGTTTCCAACAGCAACCGGATTCAGCCGGGTACGACCCGAATTTTGTGCCGGATTCGGTAAAATCGTTCGTGGTTCATCTGTACAGGCACATTAGGGAGAAAAATGTTTACGAGATTCACCAGATGTACGAGTCCTCTTTTCAGACTTTAAGCGAGCGTATGTTCAAGGAAACTCCATGGCCTTCAGTTGATGCCGTTGCGCCTTACGTTGATAACGACCACGTTTTCTGCTTGCTATACCGTGAAATGTGGTTCCGTCACTTGTACGCTAGGCTTTCTCCTACTCTTAAACAGCGGATTGATTCTTGGGATAATTATTGCAGCCTTTTTCAGGTTCCCTTTTCTTTTTTTTCTTTGTTAAATGCCATTTTAGTGCCTTTTTATCTCTGTTTTTTGGTTGTTGTGTTGGCTTGCGTAATTGTGGTATTCAGTGTAGCTGTCTCTGCAACATATTATGTGAATTAGGATATGTTGGAATTAGTTTTGAGCGAGCTCAATAAAACTAATCCGCTTTAGTTCCAACCTAATTGGTGTCAGCTCCATGAGTCTCAATATCCATTGGATTTAAACTATATGCACCCACACTGTAATGAATTTTTTACACTACCAGTGTAATTAATGTTATTAAATGGGGTTGCCTGCAATTACCTTTTAAGTTACTTGATTGTGTAAATATTTTTTACATCATCAAAGTATAGAACTTAAACTCATATCCATTTCGTTCCATTTGCACACGTTTTGTTCCAATTCTCATAATTTGGATTCTTTCACACTAGAGGTTTTATTTGATTTTTACTTACATACATGGCTCTATATAGACTAAACAGACTCCTTGCAAGTCGATATAGTTTAGGCCTAGCAAAGTAACATGATTGCAAAGCTAGATTCATATTTGGAGTTCGAAAATGTTTTTTTGACATATATTGGTGACTAAATCAGGATTTTGGGTTGAATGATTTTTAGTATTTGGTACCTGATGTACTTTTCTGAATACTAATATACTTTTGTTAAAAGTATTCTCTTTTCTATAGTATGTGTAGCTATGGTATATGTACTTATAAGCATGTTGTCATTTTAGATGCCAAACACCTGAAGTTCACTATGTTTGGGATCTTTTTAATATAATCTATTCTAAATAATGGTTACTGGTGTTGGAGCACATCATATTTGGCCTCAACTCCCTAAATCATGCTCATTCTCCATAAAAGAAAGAAAAACAACTAAAATAGAGAGAGAGGGGGATGGCATAATCTCCCCCCATCAGTAGACCGGTGACTACTATGGCTCTAGACTACTCCATAAGTCTAAATGAATCATTTTTATCAAAATTGTTGATATTCAGAATTCGTATGTTACTATAGTAGCTCTTGAGGGTTCTTAAGTTGCATCTGTGACAAATTAATTGGACTGAGAATAAGTTTTTTAATTGGGCTCACGAAATTTTTAGTGTCAAGTTATAGGTGTAATGCAAGGAAACAAATGCAGGATGGGGACGGGGTAAGAAATGTTCTCTGGTTTGCTCCTGGGCAGTTGTTTTGTTGGAAGTGTTTTAACTGTTTTCTTGTTGTTTATAGGCATTTTTGATTTTTCTAGTGTTATTTGTTTTGACATAGGTTTAATAGGCGGAAAATTATGTGTATGTTTGTATAGTTGATTTGTGGTTGCTTTTCTCTTTTCTGATTTTTCAATTCTTGTGCTATTTAGTCTTATCTATTGTATGGTGGGTGAGTCATATGTAAGGAGACAATGACACCATTTACTAGATAATTTGCTCCCTTTGTACCAAATTGGTTGAGTATTGATGGCATCTGTTGTTGATGCCCTCTTTGAGATGCTCAAAAATTGTAGAAAGTCCTTGCTAGAGCCGTGACTACTAATGTCTCAGTTTTGGTGAGATAATAATTATAAGCTAATTAGGCACACAATTTGAAATGTTACTTTCACTTGTATATTACTCAGGAGTTTAAGATGTTTGTTTTACTTGTGTTATTCCTTAACAAAAAAATATTTGACTTGTGTATTATACTCGTGGTGGTGGAAGAAGATATTAACATAATAGTTGAAAAGTTAGAAAGGTAAAGTGTCACATCACAGTTTAAAATTTGATAGTTAAATGAATTTGAATTCTAGATGGTTGGAAGTTGTATTAAATTAAATAATAATATTATTATTATTTGTGGTAAATATTGTGGACTACTCTAAAAGAAAACGATTATCATATAAATATATTGTTTGTACTAGAAAATAAATGGTAGTTAAGAAGTTAATGTTGAAAATAATTTATCAATAAAAGTTTGATTGGGGAAGCCTCTCATGGAAATTTTAAATTGCATACTAAACTGAATTGAATTATTCAAAACTTAAAAGTTGCAGATATTAATATTGTTCATAGAAGTATGTCAAACTTTTGGGACACATCCAAAGTCTAGAGTGTGTTCTATGGACAGAATGAGTAGATGAGAGACGTTGCGTTGGGCCTAATGTTTGGATTAAGTTTGTGTGCATTGATTGCCTGTGGAGTCATACTAAAGGTAAAGGGGAGAGGCGGGGGGAATAGAGGGAGGGACTATTTGGAGCCAGGATGGTTTTTTACTTGGGGTAAATGGATTGTGATTAGGGCCCTTGGCTAGGGCTTCTACTGTTGAATGGTTAAATTAAGAGGGAATCAAGAAAGACCGTTCAAAAAATGTGAACAAACTCGATAGGAAAGATGAATCATGAAAGTGTCTTGCAGAGGGTGGTCATTTAAGTAAGTGAAAAAACTAGTCACTTGATTTGCTTCTAGGTGTAGTAGAATGGTGAACAAACTAGTAGAGATTCATTATAGAATCATATTTTAAAATAGTGCTATAATAGGTTGACTAGTTTACACTGCAAGGCTTTTTTTCAAGCATGAATCAGTCTTGGCCAGACTTAGGCTTGAAAAAAGTATTATGTTGAGCTCCCCCTCTCCCTCAGAAAAAAAGGAAGAAATAAAGAAAGGTTTGAGGTGAATTCGGTCTGACTAGCTCGTGACTTGGCGTAATTGATTTTTATTTTTAACAAGACCAAAATTTCATGACCAAGCTTCACTATAGAGACTCTTTTAATTTCCCATCACAAGTTTTGACTTACTTTTTCTGGTCATGTGTGCTATTATGTGTTTTGGTACCTCTCATTCCCTCAAACTACACACCGACATGGAGACATTCGTTAAATATATGTCGTTCTGGCTATTTTGATAGTTAGTTTTGGCCAAGCTTTACAGGGAATGAGGAATGGAATAATGCTATCATCTCCAAGGGTATGCTTGCTGTGTAGTTACCGTGGTGGTTATATATTACTGAGAGATTATGAATAAGTACAACAAGAACAACTAAGTGTTATATAAAATTTCTTTGAGAACATTTGTTGCGAGACTCTTTGTACTGTATAAATTTCTTGGTCTCTCTCTCTCTCCTGATTCTATATAATCCCTCCATTTTGTGAGTCTTATCAAAATAGTTAATAGCATCTATCTGGTAGATGGACAAAGTTGGGGCCAGTACTCTGTGGGTCTTGCAGGGCGAATGTCTTTTTTAGGTGATGAATGCACTTTATTTACATTATAGATTGTGGTAGCTATAGTATACTAAACTTGCAGCTATGGAACAAAGCTGTCATTTATTGGCCTCGTGAAATAAGTCCAGAGTTTTACATACAGACTGTGCATTGCTGTAGGTTGTGCTGCATGGTGTGGTGAACATGCAATTGCCAAATCAGTGGTTGTGGGACATGGTAGATGAGTTTGTATACCAATTCCAGGCATTCTGTCAATACCGTGCAAAGATGAAGAACAAAACTGCGGAGGAGATTGCATTGCTGAAGCAATATGACCAGGTATGGCTTACAGATTGCAATGCCTTTTCCTCTTCCGTTTTGTTTATCCTATTAATATTGTATGATTTATAAATTCTGAAATATACTTTTGAAGTTTGTTTGGTTCTCTATTTTACTTTTAAAGATATTTTAACATTCTCTTGCTTTTCATTATTGTTTGCATAATTACTCTTTTAAATTTGGTGATGACTTGGTTTTAGATAAAACTACGAAAATTGTTTTGAATATTACAACATCGACTTGGGGTGATCTATGTTCACTTGAATTATTGGTTTCAGGAATTATGTATCTGCATATATTATAATGCAGTAACTGCATTTTGCAACATTGTTTTTTAACTGTACAACCTGCAATATCGTTTTCTGGCATTTTTTATCTGGTTTCAGTTTATTACCCAGAGGTCATTGACGTGCTGCATTTGAGTAATAGTTGCTCTTTATCCTGTACTAAGGTCATACATTGCTGTGGCTGAGTAAGAGTTGCTCTTTAGCTTAGCTAAGGTCATACTTTGGCATATGATGTTCATGCATGAATGGACAAAGGTTTAATGGCTTTAGTGATGGGACAAAAAGTGATGGTACTTTGGTATTGATGGATATGAATTAAGCATTAAAGTGCAAAGTGGCCATTATTTGAAGATATCGGATTGGTTGTAAAACACTGACTTGGACATTTAAGATGTTTGTTTTTACCCATAGATTTCTGTATTATGATTTGTATTGGATTGGTTGTAAAACACTGACTTGGACATTTAAAATGTTTGTTTTTACCCATAGATTTCTGTATTATGATTTGTATAAATCATGTATCATCTTGCCTAAATAATTTCTCTAATAATGATGTTTATTAGGCTTGGAATGTCTACGGTGTCCTCAACTTCTTACAAGCCCTTGTAGAGAAATCTACGATAATCCAAATATTGGAGAGGGAGAAGGAAGGTCTTGAAGAGTTTACTGCTACTGATGGGTATGATTACAGTGGTGGAAGTAATGTCTTGAAGGTTTTGGGTTATTTCAGCATGATAGGCTTGCTCAGAGTTCATTGTCTGTTGGGTGATTATCATACTGGCCTGAAGTGCTTGCGTCCAATTGACATAACTCAACAAGGTGTTTACACCAGTGTTATTGGGAGCCACATAACCACAATTTATCACTACGGCTTTGCTAATCTTATGTTGAGGAGGTATGTTGGTAATTATTTTGGCCCAGCTCTTGCATTTGTGTTGCATCTACTGCACATTCTGTATGATCATAAGCACTTTTATATAGCTAAGAAATTACTAAATGGATATCTTAAAATCTGCATTCCATTCTTCATTGTGTAAAATTGCTTGTAATATGTTATTATCAAATTAAAGAAACTAGCGGAATCATCAAGAAAGGACTGTTGCCTTTTGTCATCGGAAACTGAAAAGATACAGTAGAGGCAAATGACATTGATTATATAAATTTGCAGCTTCACTAACCGGCTGATATTAAGAGTAGTGTGCACTTTCTTTTTCTTGAATGGTTAGGTAATGTTACTTTTCTGTGAATTGGAGAAGATACTGACACGTCGCTTATTATTTATCCACTGAATCTTTCTCAAAGTAAGATACTCCCTCCGTTTATTTTTAGATGAGGTAGTTTGACTCGGCATGGAGTTTAAGAAATAAAAGAAGACTTATGAAGCTTGTGGTCTTAAAAGCTTAAGGGTTAAAAATTTTGCGGGGCCATGACATTTGTGTGGTTATAAAAGCTTTTCATTAAGGATAAAATGGATAAAATGAAGAGTTTAAAGTTGAATTATTTCCAAATTTAGAAATGTGTCATTTATTTTGGAACAGACTAAAAAGGAAAGTACCCCATCTAATTTGAAACGGAGGGAGTATTGTTTAATATTGCTGGTTTACAGACAATTTGTAATAACAGTGGAAGTCGGATGATATTTTCCTTACTTGATCATGTGATTAGATTTCATTCTGCGAAAAGTGGCGATTCTCTTTTTTTCTTCTTAAATCCACAAGGAGCCACCTCATCAAGTTCCCAAGTGCTCAAAGTTCTAATTGTGTTTACTTTGGCTTTAGCAGCGTAGTTTTATTTTCTCTAATCTGGAAAAAGGATTCATTGTGTTACAGGTATGTAGACGCTATCCAAGAATTTAACAAAATCCTTCTATATATTTATAAGACAAAGCAGTATCACCAGAAGTCACCCCAGTACGAGCAGATACTGAAGAAAAATGAGCAGATGTATGCTCTGTTGGCCATATCTTTGTCACTGTGCCCTCAAGTGAAACTTGTTGAAGAAACTGTCAATTCTCAATTAAGGGAGAAGTATGGTGAGAAGATGGCGAGAATGCAAAGATATGATGATGAGGCTTTTGCCCTCTATGATGAACTCTTCTCATATGCATGTCCAAAGTTCATTACTCCCTCTGCTCCAAGTTTTGAGGAGCCTCTTGTAAATTACAACCAGGTATACAACACCTGTTTTAACTGGGACTTAATTTCTGGCCTCTCTATCCAACTTGCAAGCTGAGGTTAAACATATAGAGAAACAGTAGATATAGATTGTACTCCTCAGCCCTCGATGCAAATGTTCATTTATTGCTAGAAACGTTTGCTTAGAATACATCCAATTTGCTCCTCCGTCCTCCATGCAAGTATCCTTGTGTAGTTCATGTGTACTATTGCTCCTTGTTTCTCATTTCTTGACTGCACGTTTTGAACTACCATGAAAGGATGGCTTTGTATGCTCACATCACATCACATGTTTTCTTCAGCTTTTACTCAGTTGTGGCGTTGCTGCTAAATTTTGTTATGTTGTCTGCTTCAGGATGCGTATAGGCTACAGTTGAAGCTCTTCCTTTATGAAGTGAAGCAGCAACAATTGTTAGCTGGTGTTAGGACCTTTTTGAAAGTCTATTCAACAATCTCCCTGGGGAAGCTTGCAAATTACATGGAAGTGGATGAACCCACTTTAAGGTCTCAAACATCTTATGCTTTTAATAGATTTGTTATGGTGCACTTTTTCAAGTGATCTATGATTTTGTGGGCTTATAAGTGATATACTGAGTACAATATTACACAGGACAATTTTGATGACATACAAGCACAAAACACATGCTGTCGATTCCGATGGGAAGATAACTTCTAATGCTGATGTGGACTTCTACATTGATGAAGTAAGAAACACATGTTGTGTAAATATCTGGTTCTTTTTTGTTCATTTACTTCTTTCTCCATTAGGTAATAGTTGGCTGACAACCATATTTATTTAACATAATCTAGATAATGTGCGTGTGGTTTTGTGGTGGTTATTCTTGTTGGATCTTGTTCAAGATAATGCCTTTTTGAGTAGTTCAGGAATAGTCAACTTTTTGTTGGCATCTACCTTTGTTTTCTGTCGAGAGATGCAAACAAGTACTGTGGCCTGCTTCTCTTATTTGATTGTGTTGCTGGTTCCGATGTCTTAACTTTTGGATTATTCTTTCTCATAAGCCTTCAGTACTAGTAGTCTTGGAGGATAAATATATGTAAAATCTGATATGACCTAGTTCGCGTAGTTCTTCTCGTGAGTAAATACTTGATACTTTCTGTGAAGTGATTCACATTGTCTTTGGTTTCAGGACATGATCCGCGTAGTAGAATCTAAACCCGCCAAGAAGTATGGAGATTACTTCTTGCGTCAGATTGTGAAGGTAATTCGTCTATAGCATTTTAAGTCAGTTTTTTCTTTCAATTTCTCTCGCAAATACTCATGCAATGTGTGCTTAACTTGATTGCATCTGTTTGTGTTTTTCCAGCTTGAAGGGATCATGACTGATATTGACAGGATAAAGCTGGAGTAAGCTATCTTCCTATGTTCTAGTATTAGTGCTAGCTTATTTTGAGCTTTCATTTTTGTACTCGAAAGCAAGAAGGAAAATGCATAAAGTGGAAAAAGTATACATTTTGTTGTTCCCCCTCTGAGACTGTGTTACCGGAAGTTGTTGATTAATGACCAGTTAAATCCATTTTTTTCTAGTGTTGTAATCTCTTAATACAAGGTTGGCTTTTGTTAAAAGTTGAAAACCTTGGAGCTTTGGGTTCAGCTGACAACATTAACTGCTTGCATTAGATCTGTTCTTGATGCCTGCACTGCCATTTAAATCTGGTGCTTATGCTATCGTTGACTGATTTTGTAGGTATTGTTTAATAGTGGGTTTTGTTTCTCTTTCACATTGAGTTTGTGGTTTCTACCAAAAATGGTCGATTCCATCAATTACTATAATCGAAAAGAACTGGTTATTTTAAAATCAGAAAGCGATTTAGTTTTAATTATTTTGTCAAGCATTTGCAGTTTATATTTTCTGAATACATGTTCTTATTATAATCGGATAAGGATGATTGCCTATCAATAATCTTATATGCTCACAAAATATCTTCACTTTGCCCGCAAGTGTGTACACAAAACTAATAGATGCATAGCATATCTCAAGCACGCTGACCTTTTTCACTTAATTATAGTCAATTAATATATTAGGCGTTATGTATTGCCTTCGTTTGTCTTTATAAACGATCATAATATTGTATGGTAAGGAAAGAAAAGCGAAGAACGAAATGACTTTTTGTAAAGTTAAATTAATACTCAGGGCTACTTTTCTTACTCCTAAAACTAAAAGGGGTATTTTCTTAAAAGTATTTTTGTGATATGCACAGTTGCGTAATTTGTTAGTTAAAAGGAGTTTGAAACGTCAAACCTTTTCTAGAAAACGTGCATACCTTAGGCATCTGAAATGTTCTCCCTTGATGTTGTAATGCGTACAAATCATCATTAAAGTCTTTTTCCAAGCATTATTGCCACATGCAAAAGCCAAAATATGTGTAAAGTAGTGCACATCGTCAACAAAGTACCTCCACACCAACCAACTTTCAAAGTATTTTCCAACCCCATATCTCCATCTGTAGTTAAGGATAAACTCCTTTCTCTTTGCTAAACACAAAATACCTTGAGTATGAAAGCTCATTTTCCTTTCAGAAGAAAAGAGTAGGCTTTGGTGGAGTTGAGAAATGGTAAGGTGGTGCAGTAGGTGCAGGTTGCAGCAGTCAATGAGGGCACTCAACCTCTTTGTTAACATTCTTGGAGTTGTCATGATTCTTTACTCCCTTTGCCTTCACAAGACTTGGACTGATGGTGGCTTCACAACACATATTTGTGAGTTGCATTCAACTGGTTCCGATACTCACCCTATCACTTAAACTAAAAATAATCAATAATTATATAATAGATATATAATCAATATGTACAATCGTATATAAATTTATGTATACCGGCTAGAAAAGATAAACAATGAATCCGGTATACTATTTGTATAAAGATCCCGTTTAAAAATGCTTCTTGTATTTTGCATGCTATTCATTCTTAGCTTCTTGTATCTACTATCTAGACATTTTTTTTCTGTCATAATCACCTAACTCCTTAGTTTATTGACTTATTAGTAGCCAATAATCATTTGATCTTGGGTATTTATAAGCCGATGGAATAAAAGCATACATTCAAATTAATTAAGGGTTTAAATTTACCTTCTTTGGTAACAGAAAGACCAAAAACAGACTCTAATAATAATTGTTCAAAAGAAAAAAGAAAATCTCCTTTCTTTTTCATGAATTTAATAATTGGTTATTGTGTATGTTGTTTTGTACATTTGACTTCTTCATTATAAAAGAATATTTATAGCTAACACTGCATTGGCAAAATTCTTTATTGAAACAGGTTCATCTACACATGTTTAGGGATTGGAATTGTTGTCTGCTTGAGCTGTCTCTCTGCTCATATGGTCGCTAACTGTATGACTCCTTCAATACTTGCCCTTGTTTCCTTCAACTTTTTCATTACCCCATAATTACCTAACCTATCTCTTAATTTATCTCTATAACAAAATGAAAAAATAAAATAAAAATTTATTACTTGATGTAAAAAGTGTTATGTCTTCCATTTCATGTGAAACACTTTGTTGATTACCATATTAAATTAGCCTCAATTTTTTATTATTACACTTGGATAAAAAATTAACACTAGTCTTGACAATCTAAGCTACTATACTACTATCTAACCACGATTTTTTTACAATCTACTCATAATCAAAGAATTAACACCAAGAGAATTTTTGACATAAAAAGAAATTCCAAGTGTCTTTTGAAATTGAAATAGAGGTAATGGTAAACTTTATGTTCCTTTTTAACTGTTTCCTTACTACAACTCGTGCTCCTAAATAGCTTCATTTATGTAACAATATCTATCAAGGCGTATAAAGTACTATTAAAAACTTATATGTTGTAACATTTTTAAATTATCATCGTATTTTGGTATATTGCAAAATACGGACCAATTTAACACCAAAAATTTGTTTTAGAAACTCTAGAGTTCTCGTATTTTTCTTTTCTCATAACATCATTTTATAATTTTGGGAACTTAACTACTACGTCAGTACATCATATTTGTATGTGTCCTTCTAGGGGTCCAAGGTTCCATTATTTTTTCAACATTCTTCAAGATTGACTGGCGATGGGTATGTCTTCAGCTCGTTAAAGGACTTACAATTAATTTTTTTTAATCTTATGTTATATTTATTGAGTTTGATAAGATGATTATAAGCTTCACAAACTCAATGATTTTTGAGTAATCCATATTACTTATAATTAAAAAAAAATCCACATCTTTTTAGTCATAAAAGTTGTTTTATTTTGGGACCAAAGTTGGCTAAGAAAGAAGTGAGATAGCAGTTGAGCTCACCCATATTGTATAGGTTAGTCCAGTAAATATCCCTAAATTCTGAATCTTGGTCTAGTACGTTTATTGAGTATTGTAATATTTACAAAATAAAGCATACTTGTTCAAATGATAGACGATATACTCCACTAAAGTTTATTTAAAAGAACAAATGTATACTTTTTCTTTTTGACGGAAATAATTATTTATTGAATTTTTTACATTGTCAGTTACTTCTTAAACAAAAGTAACAATCTTTATTTAAATATTATTTAAGAAGTAACTGACAATGTAAAAAACTCAATAAGAAGATATTTAATGTTGACCATAAAAGTAATTCGGTTTCTCTTGCCCTATTACAGAACATTAACCATTACATCCACGATAGCCACAAAAAGTTCAAGAAATTTGTACTCTTCCACCTAGTCATATGTAAACTGGTTACACTTTTAGTATTTTTGATCCAGGTATATCTTAACGTTGGAAATTTTTTTAACATGAAAAGAATTACTATATCATTATGATTATGACTATTATTTTATAATAAACATTTTGTATGTTCAGATAAAGGGTGTTTTGCTTGCTATGATTATTTGGGCCATGGGAGTTGCAACTGTTCCTCTAATTCTGAGATGCTACCAAATGGTACATATTCATTCTTGGTTGATCAAAATGCAGATGAACTACATGATCCTAGGGCTGTTGAAATTAATCTTGAAGTTGAGTAACCATGCAATCTGTTGTATCTTTAAATTCATTATTTTAATATTCTTTTTGGTGATTAGAGAGGAACAAAATTAGCAATTTTATCTTATTTACACCATCATATTTTGTTCATATGTCTCAGAGATTTTTTTGAGTTTATCTCCTGTAGGTGTTACGCTTATCTAATTAAAGTATAATAATGTATTTTCTCATTGTAAATAGAAGCGGAATTCAAGTTCACATGCCATCATATTGTATTAGTTTAATTGCTCCAACAAATCAAAGTTGTATAGGCCAAAATCTGTCCTACGGAAATTTAGCATAAACTGGTATTAAGAAAAAAGATGTGGTCAAAGTCGACTAGGAAACAGTGGGACTCATGGTCGGGCAGTCAACACTGGTCGAGGTCGAGCATCAAGGACAGAGCACTAACGACTAGTTTTTGTAATAAAATATTAAAGAGAATACTTCATTGAATATTCTCTGCACTTGTGCCATTAGGGTTGATTAGAGATATGTCTCATATAAATAGAAAAAGAGATAAGGGGATAAGGCATGTAATATTCATTTTGATAAGAACACTTTTTGAGAAGAAGACTCTCTCTCTAGCAACGATACAAACTCTACCTTTTTACTAAGATTCCATCATCTATTATTTTATACTTTTCCATCAGACCCGAGAATAGTTCCACCATTCTAGGATTTATCTGTCATTCATCACTGTCAGAAAGAAGAATCATCCACCTTATTCAATATTGGGTGAATCATTCTCCTTATTTACATAAATGCCATTTATTACTATTTATTGCTTGATGTTCCTCTATTATTGCTCAAATTCTTTGGAATATTAATGCGCACTATTTTCAATTCCCTATCAACATTATCTCCTGTTATTTATGCTAACTAGTTCTTAATCTAGTTAAAAAATTATGTTCACCATGGACCCAAATCCGTTCCATAGTCAAGCACAGACCAAAAGGAGTCAAATAATATGTTGCTGCCTCAAAACTTGACCAACATCTTATTCTTGCCACTCGAGAGGAATAATTTATTACCCTTCAAATCCCAGATGATTTTCCTAGACAATGGAGAAACCATGGTTTTACCCATATCCATTTTGGTGCTATCCGAATCGCTTTAACATATCACAGAAGAAAAGGTCAACCTGTTGTTGCTCGACTTTCTCTTCTAGATACAAGATACTTAGAATACCAACATGCAAATTTGGGTACTGCCGAAGTTATCCTAAATGCCGGGACAATATTCATAACTATCTTTCGAAATTTCAACATGTCCCTTTATGATCCGTACCTAACCGAAGCCCTAAAAATCCAAGTCCAAATCTAGGGAGCCCCACAAGCCAAAGATTCCATCCAAGCTACTCTTCATCACCAAATAGCGTGGCGAGTCCAAAATTATGCTATGGATCTCTGCCTTTCCGGTGGAGAAAATGCTTTACTCTTGAATATTGATGCTATCAAAGGAAACACCATGTGTACCCAAATACCCAGACAAATTTCTAGAGATGAGCTTGTCAAAATCCTTCCTGATTCCTGGATCACAAATTATGAAAAGTTAAGGGAACCGGAAGAATCTCTGCAATCTGGTGAGCCAGCTTTTACCAAATGAAATGACAAAACCATTTCCATAATCTTTGACCATTCCCATCTCCAAAAACCCAATAAAACCATCTTCTCTTGCCAAATGATTCAGCCAAAAGATACAACATATACATACCATGAACCGGACGGAGAATTCTTCTGGAATATACAAAGCATCATGGAAGAACATGACTGGTGTCAACACTTTGACAAAGAAAGAAAAAGAGTTTGCTGGTTCAAATGCCCCTTTACGGGACACTGTCCTTGGGATCTTGGTTGCGACTGCCGAGACTCTTTGGAAAATCCAATTGGAGAATATGATGAATACCACTAGCGTCATTGGGAAAGATTCGGCCTCAACAAAACCAAACCAAAATCCAAGAAAAAAGGGAAAACAACTGAAAACAATTTCGAGCCAAATATGAAAATGAAGATCCATCAATTAGCTCATTAAGCCGTCCAGGTAAATATGAATTTCTTGTCAGTTATAAACCCCATGAATGGCCAAACTTACCAGAAATGTTCACTCCAAGCTGGGAAGATAGTGAAACCACACCCATAGCCAAACCACCATCAGCTCATACCCCAAAAAGTCAAAAAACCACAAATCCCACACAACCACAAATATTCATGCTAAGTCCTTCAAGTTCCAGTCATACCTAAGATTTCCCTTAACTTCAACCTTTTGAAAAAGAGGGTATAAGCCATGCTCAAAAAATTCCCAAGAAAAATATAGTACTACCTACTGGAGGAAAACTCCCGACAATTGACATCGAAACAACAATGAACTGGCAATCAGAAAATTCCATCTGTCAAAATAAAGTGCTCAACGATATTGGCAACACCATAAAAAACGTGGCCCATACACAAAATAAAATGATGAGCAAAGTGGAAACAATTGAGAAAAAGATGGAGCAGACATCGTCTCAGGACTAATCAAAGCCTTGGAACTAAGGTTGGCCAATTTACAATATGAGATTTGTCTGCCAGGAACTTCACTTTTCCAGTTCTTCCAACAACAACAAAAGGAGACGATTTCCATTAAGGAACAAATTCAACTTCTGAGAAATAACCACTTTGAGCCACAAAAAACCCTCAATTCTCCCTTCAAAATCTGCCTTCTACCTTATGTCACTACAAGCATACTCCCCACCAAAATTGGACTATGCCTTTTCTACTTTTCCAACTACCTCACAAAATTCCATTTCTTTCACCCAACCTTTGAAAGAAGAAACTGAATTCGATATCGCAAAAATGGGTTCTGAAAGGAAAGATGCCCTTACAGCCCAGAGACAAACCAAGAAAAGGCGAGACCAAAGAGAAAGTTCAAAAGGGTCCAACCCCGAAAGTTTGATGATTTATGATCACAAGACTCCAGACCTCTATGTCTCCCAGCCAAGATACATGTCAGAAGGAGACACCACATGGTCAGAATCTCTAAATTCATTAGATGATGATACAATGGAAGATAACTCTCAATCAGGCAATAATTCCACAACAGACTCTTCCGAAGAAGAAGATCCCCCAATATTTGTAAGCCAACCAAGAGACCCAGAAATATCTAACGTAGAGGAGGATCAAGAAGGTATGAGGGATGAACCAATACCAGAAAGAAGACATGAACCCATGGCATCAAAACCAGTTGGAACTAGCTTCCATACTTTCACCTTAGATGACGTCAAGGTTTCAAAATGGCTCCAAATGATCCAAGACTTCTATACTTGGATGGTGACCAAAAATTTGGTGGAACGAGAAAAGTATATCATCCTGTCAGAACTAACTTCTCGTTCTCAGGAATCGTTAGAGATTGGTGGAATTCACTTGGGATTCAGGACAAAAATACTTTTCTTACTTCCCAAGATTTTGCCTTCAACATCAGAATCATACATAAAGTTTTCTGCGGAGATACTGACCAAAGACAAGAGAAAATGCGAAGACAACTCTTTGAGATGAAATGTGTGTCATTTGATAGAAATGACATTGACAAACATTTTAAAAAATTGGCAAAAATATACTTTGAAATTGGTGGAGACATCAACCTGAAGCAAGCCTTTGTCTCTTCCTTTCCAAAGTTGTTGGCTAGCCGAACCATGACCATCATTGAAGAAAAGTTTCGGTCAATAACAATCACACAAGTTGGCTACATCATGCAAGCTATTTTCGTCGCATTAGATGACATTTTTACAAAGCGCTCAGCCCTAGAGCAAATTATCCAGCACAATCCAGCACTTGACAACACCGGATCAGGATGTTCCTGCCACATAACTAGACAACAGAAAGGATTCAGGAGGTTCAGATGGCCCAGAATTCCAAATAAAAAATCAAGTTCCAAGAGATGCACAAAATATTTCAGACGTAGAAAGGCCAGGAAATTTTTACAAGAAAAACAGATGCTTTATTTGCCATAAGATTGGACATTTCGCAAAAAATTGTCCCCAATCAAGAAGATCTGTCAAACTCCTTGAAGAGATTGAAGATTACACTGGCATACATCTCAGAAAAGAGAACGACCTTGAATCCATGTTCTCTATGGATGATTAACCTAGTGAAGAAACTTTATTCTCTCTCGATATCTATGAAGATCAAGGCAGTGATCACTACCAAATTTCAGAACCAGTGATCGAAGCCCGAGAGGAGATCAATGCTCTCATAGTCGTTCCTCAAGTAGAACTTAAGGTCTATTCATCCAAATAGGATAAACCAACTAGAGTTATTGCTTTCATCGACACTGGAGCTGCTTCATCACTCATAAATCCTGTTATTTTCTTGAAGATCAATAGGTACTGCACTTTAAGGATTTTAACACTGCAACAAATGGAATCCTGACTACCACCGTCATTATAAAGCATCCGGTCACAATTGAATTCTTTCCAGGATTGAAGTACATAACCAAGCTGATAGGGTCTGATATACCAGGAAAAGATCTTATTGTTGGATTCGACATTTACAGAAAACTTAGAGATCAACTCCAAATCAAAGCTAACGGGATAGCTTTTAAGAAGCATTTCAAACCTTATTCTGAGATTCCAAGGCTATTCCAAAATCACCAACGACGAACAAATCAAATAAATCGAGCAAAATCTCATTAAGCATTCATGTGCTGAATCCCACAAGGACTTCATGAAGAAAGGGAAAAGCCCGTTATGAAAAAACAAAGAGTTTTTTATCAAGCTCCCTTTCAAGAAGAATGAAAACATCAATCCAACAAAAGCCAGTCATTCGGGCATGAATCCAGATCATCTTCAGCTTGCAAAGAAAGAATGTGAAGAACTCTTAAAATTTGATCTAATATAGCCATCAGATTCACAATGGGCATGCGAAGCATTTTATATTAACAAAAGAGCTGAGCAGACAAGAGGAAAACTCAGGTTAGTTATTAACTACCAGCCACTTAACCACTTCCTCCAAGATGATAAATTCCCTATCCCAAATAAACTCACTCTTTTCTCCCACTTAGCCAAGGCCAAATATTTTTCCAAGTTTGATCTAAAATCTGGATTTTGGCAATTGGGAATCCACCCTGAAGAAAGACCAAAAATGGGATTTTGCATCCCTAATCATCACT